CGGCCAGTTCCGCGTTGTGACCCGGAAGTGGACGACCGCGTCTCGGTGCGAGTAGTACATATCCCACAACATGTGCACTCTGTTCACTCTGGGGGCGCCAGAGCAACGAGCGCGAGAGCCGAGACGAGGCCGAGGGCGTGTGTTCGGTCCCGTGTGTGGTAGGAGCTCAAAAAGAGTGTGTTGTTTCGACACACCGGAGACACGAACAACATCGTGATTAGCCACATGGCGCGGTCCCCCGATCGCTGCTTCCCCGCCGCGCCCTCGATTCACTCCGCCGACTGATTCCCACGCACACACACACGCACTCACGCACGCACGCACGCACACACACGCACACACGCACTCCAGGGAGTCGGCCGGCGCGAAGCGACGACCGCCGAGCTTTAGGTCGCCGACATCCAGCCGGAGCTGCGAGTCCACACACGGAAGCCTCTTGGGCGAATGCACTGGGACAGTGCTTTCGCAGAGACTACCTCATTTGCTACTCCCCCCAGGAAGGGGGGGTTGTGTGGGAAGCCAAAGGAGGTTTTTGGCTTCCCACATTTGTGATGGGTCGAAATCGGCCCGCATTGATGGTCGAATCGGTGTAACGAATCGAGAGAGAGAGACGCGAGGGCCCAAGAGGCCCTTGGGCTCGCCTGCAGAGCGTCTCTCTCTTGCCATTCTGCTTGTCTGTTTTGTGGCCTCTTCTCTTGTCTGTCGGTGTTTTGTTGGGGTTGGAAGGGGTTGGCACGGGGGTGGAAGGCCACCTCCAGAAGCAACAGCAACGTGTTCGAGCGTCAACCATATTCGTCGTCGGGAAGTGGTTCCGATACGTGATTCTGGTAGGCTGGAACACGCTGACGGTAAAGAGGCCGCAACGCATGGCCTTAGCGTCTCTCAAGGAGATCGCTACAGCACGGAGCAGCGTCAAGGGAGCTGGCAGTGGTTGGAGCGACTGCGATGTGGAGGCAGAGCCAATACTTGCTCAAGTCAGTCTTGACGCTGCGGACGACAGGATTTGCTGGGGCGGCATCACGCCGCCTGGCACATCTCGGCGCGGCGCCGAGGCACAGAGCCGCTGCGAGGCAGCGGCGGCAAGGCACGGCGGCGAAAGCACCATCGCCGGGCAGTCTCGGGGTGGCGTGGAGGGCCACTCGAGCTCTGCCGGCGGTGCGGCCGCCGCTCACGGACACGCGACGCGAGGAGGCATCGCCGAGGGCGTCGACGAGGCGCTCGACGAGGCGCGGCCGCGGGACGGGTCTTCTCGGAGCCGCGAAGGCGCCGCTGCAGGCGGCGGCGGCGAGAGCGGTTCAGAGGACGAGGGTTCAGAGGACGAGGGTTCAGAGGACGAGGGTTCAGAGGACGAGGGTTCAGATGAGTAAGTATGTAGTCAGACCAACGAATGTATGATGTAACATACTTGACCCCCCCCCCCCTTGGCGCCTTGTGATTTTCGTGGCAGAGCTGCGGATCTCAGCCCGCCGATCTCCGCTCGCGCCGGCCGCCCATGCGCTCGCGGGGCTTCCCGACGGGGCGGGCCTCGTGCTGATGGACCCAGCCGAGGTGCCCGACCAGTCGGATCCGCGCCGACGCGCTGCGCGCGACCACCAGCCAGCTT